CCATGGCACTCTACCCAGGGCAACATAGTAAGACTCTGTCTCCAAAAAAAAAACAATAAATAAATAAGTAAGTTAATTAATTAATTTAGCCCCCAGAGTCAAGGAGCTAAATATACTACCACTTACCAGTGGTACTAATATGCCACTAATATGTACCAAGCACAATGCTAGACTTTATATATGTCCATTTATTTATATCCTCACACTGATTTTGTGAGGCAGGTATTATCCCCATTTATAAGTTTGTGATCAATGTTTAGATAGGTTAAATCATTAGCTTAAGTCCTCTCCAATAATTATGGGTAAGTAGGTAATAAGCCGGGTCAGTAAAGGACCAAAACCCATGCTGTTTCAAATATACCATATATTCTGTTTCTCAACATTGGCTCTATTTCAGGCCCTTTTTAGAATTGAGCAACTGGCTTAGCACCTCTGGCTCAAGTGGCTAAGGCGCCAGCCTCATACACCTGAGGTGGCAGGTTCAAATCCAGCCCAGGCCCACCAAACAACAATGACAGCTGCAACCAAAAAATAGCCAGGCGCTGTAGTGGGCGCCTGTAGTCCCAGCTACTTGGGAGACGGAGGCAGGAGACTCGCTTGAGCCCAGGAGTTGGAGGTTGCTGTGAGCAGTGTGACCCCATGGCACTCTACAGAGGGTGATAAAGTGAGACTCTATCTCCACACACAAAAAATAATAATAATAAGTAGCAAGGCAATCAACTGAAAAGATATGGCTATAAAGGCAACCAAACCAAGATTCAGATACTGACTTTTTTTTTTTTTTTTTTTAGAGACAGAGTCTCACTCCATCACCCTCAGTAGAGTGCTGTGGTATCACAGCTCACAGCAACCTCCAGCTCTTGGGTTTAGGCCATTCTCTTGCCTCAGTAGATACTGACTCTTATACTTAAAAACTGTGAAGTTGGGCAAATCAGTTAACTTCTTTGAATCTCAGTTTCCACATGATAAGAAGGTAATATCAGCCGAGCTCAGTAGCTCATGCCTGTAATTCTAGTGCTCTGGGAGGCCTAGGCAATTGGATTGCTTGAGCTCACAAGTTCAAGACCAGCCTGAGCAAAAGCAAGACCCTGTCTCTACTAAAAAAGTAGAAAAACTGAGGTAAGAGGATCACTTAAGCACAAGTTGGAGATTGCTGTGAACTATGACACCACAGCACTCTACCCAGGGCAATAGCTTGTTTCAAAAAAAAAAAAAAGAAGGTAATACCTACCTTAAATAGTAGGGGTAGGAATTCAATATCATTAATATCTAGTGTCTGATATGGACACTGGTGCTTATTAGGTGCTTCTTAATTTTTCAAAGACTATGGCTTTACCATTTTCAAATGAATCCATGGTCTCCTGGGGCCTTCCACATTCCCCTACTTTCAGTTTAAATGACTCATTCATAACAGACAATGGCAAAGCGCAGGAGTTCACTCCTATAATCCCAGCACTTTGGGAGGCCAAGTAGGGAAGAGTGCTTGAATTGAGGCCAGGAGTTCAAGACCAGCTTTGGCAATATAGCAACACCCCCATCTCCAAAAAAAACCAGACCATAAACTCTTTCATTCATGTCAGTTGAGAATGAAGATTGTTGAAGGATTGGGACTAAATATAACAGTTTAGATAATTTCTTTTTATTTGTAGACTATCTTCCCTAACATATAAATTAATAAAATGCCTCACTGAGATGACAACTGAAATAAATTCATTTTAAAAACTGGCTACTGGCACCACGCCTGTGGCTCAAGTGGCTAAGGCGCCAACCACATACACCTGAGCTGGCGGGTTCGAATCCAGTCCGGGCCCGCCAAACAACAATGACGGCTGCAACCAAAAAATAGCTGGGCATTGTGGTGGGCGCCTGTTATCCTAGCTACTTGGGAGGTAGAGACAGGAGACTTGCTTGAGCCCAGGAGTTGGAGGTTGCTGTGAGCTGTGATGCCACAGCACTCTACCCAGGGTGATAGCTTGAGGCTCTGTCTCGAAAAAAAAAAAAAAGAAAAAACTAGCTACATTGGCCAGGCATGGTGGCTCATGTCTTTAATACTAGCACTCTGGGAGGCTGGGGTGGGTGTATTGCCTGAGCTCAGTTCCAGACCAACCTAAGCAAAGAGAGACCCCCAGTCTCGAATAAAAATAGAAAAACTAGTTGGGTATTGTTATGGGCACCTGTAATCCCAGCTACTTGGGAGGCTGAAACAAGAGGATCACTTAAGCCCAAGAGTTTGAGGTTGCTGTGAGCTGTGACTCCATAGCACTCGACCCCACGGCGGGGTGAGACTCAACCTCTTGAGCACAAATGATCCTATTGCCTCAGCCTGCCAACTAACTGGGACTACATGTGTCCAGTTATTTTTTTTTTTTTGACAGGGTCTTGCTGTTGCTCAGGCTGACTCACTGTTACACTGTTATTCTTTTAACTAAGCACAAGCCACCATGCCTGACTAATTTTTTTTTTTTTGGAGAGAAAGACATGATCTCAACTATGTTGCCCTGGCCAGTCCTGAGTGATCCTCCTGTCTCTGCCTCCTAAACTGCTAGAATTATACGTGTGAGCCACCAAGCCTAGCCTGAATTCTACATTTAAAGAAACATTTTTTTTTTTTTTTGAGATAGAGCCTCAAGCTGTCCCCCTGGGTAGAGT